TAAAATTCATCAATAAAATATATTTTTATTGATAATTTTTTCATAGATAAAATTTCATATATAATTAAGTAATTACTTGTAGTGAAATGGCTATATGAAGATTTCTATCTAATAAGTAGGATTAACTTTTATAATCTTTTGACTACATGTTTTCAAAAGAAGAATTAACTTATTTTGCTAGTAATGGTGGATTTGAGGAAGAGAGAATGAATGAATTTGAAGGAATAGAGAGATGATTGTGATGTTGTTTGTTTTAAGGGATAGAAAGATGATACTATACCCTTTAGTCATGACCAAACATACTCAAGAAGATTTTGAGTCATCTACAGAAGGTGAGCCCAAACTTTTATCATCATGGGCCATAAGTGAGTTTTTAATAGATTGTGTTTATTTTAGGCCTTATATCATGGGTCAAGTAATATAGGATTTCCTTTTTGAGCCTTGTATTATAAGTCAAGTAGTGTAGGGTTTTGCTCAACTTGGGTCAGCTTTGTTCTTCTCTTCTTTTCTCAATCTTCTCTTATATCCTTTCATTTTTTTTTGTTTTAAAATTCTAAGTTCCTCCTCTCTAGAATGACAACTTAAGTCTTTTTTTTTTTAATTTTCTCCTCTTCTTTTTGTACGACCTCTTGCTTTCCTCAAATTTTTAGTGACTTTAGTTCTTGAGCATTTTGTCTTAAACTTTATGGATCTTTTTTACTAGAGTCACTACCATATTGGTAAAAAGGATCCCTAGACATGTTTATGCATCCTATTTTTGAATTTTAGATTAAGAAACCTTTTCTTCCAAAAAGAAATTGTTAAGGAGACTTAAGGTTGCAAGAATACTCAAGTTTACTTTCAGGAAAGAGAGGTCAGACACTAAGGATTACTTAAAAACTAAGTTTTTACTTTCCAAAGTTTACCTTAAGTACTCTTGCACCAAACTTCTAAAAGGAAATTAAGTTTGAAAGGCAAGTGAACACACACTAAACTATAAGCAAATAAAGAAAGCAAATAAGCTAAATTATGTTGCCTAATGGTAAGACTAGAAGGCACTTAGAACCTTCAAAGCACTTACCAACTAAGATGCATCTCTGTTCACTATAAGAAATTAAGGTTTTGATTAGAAGATGTGATTGAACACCAAAGACTCTATCAAGACACCTTAAGAAAGCAAGTAAATTACAACTTAAAGAAATCAAATATACAAATACAAACAAGGAAAATCTACTCCTCTCCAAGTGTTTCTTTCTTCCTTCGCTCCTTCACCAAGGCAAAAATCTGATACCAAATTATTGAATAATCTCTTTCAAGCTATATGACTCAAGCAAAGTGGAGACTTCTAAATGAGTTAGTGGTTATGGAAGCTTGATGGTAGTGGAATATGGTGCACATATGGTGGGTTTAATGTGGAAATATGGTAGTTCCTCCTCTAAGGTATATGACTTGATGTGATAATAGATAGAGCAAGGATGAAGAGTTTAAAGAGTGACAAGAAACATAAAAAAAAATAGCATAAGTTTTCTTAGGCTTGTATTTTGCCTATTCTAGTTTCTTTCTTAGTTTGGTTGTAAAAAAACTTATATATTTTTCTTTTCTTTAAGGTGCAAGCAATGTGGGACTTCACATAGTTTGGGCTTAAAAGAAAGAACAATAAATAAGTCTCTTTTTCTTTTAGTTGTTTGTAATGCAAGATATCGCATGTATAGTTTTAATTTTGGTCTTTAGATTTGTTAGGTAGTTTATATACCCTTAGGAGGTTGTAGAATTAAGAGATGTGGGATTTAAAACAACCTTGAGAGTTGTTATCCAGACTTGTGGGCTTCCAAGTTTCACATCCTTTAGTTTTCTCTACCTACTTCATCTCGTAGTGCTATATAAGCAACCCAAGGTCTCCTTTGTAAGTACACCTTAAAATTTGAATATAAAAAGTGTTTTGCATTCAATTATATTACTTCTTTGAGATACAAAATTTTCTCTTAGTCTAAATTTGGGTCCTATCTTGTGAAGAATAAGTAGCGATCCTCCTTGAGATTTATATTGGATCCTTCCAAGTGGCATGTCTTCAAATTCATGTTTCTTCTCCTTTCTCTTTTTCATTTTTTAGTCTTTTAATTCCATTTCTTAATTGTTCTTGTTTAGTCTTTAATTAGTTGTATTTCTATCTAGGCATGTTATTCCATATCATGACTCAAGCAAGGGGAGAGACTATTTTGGTGTTTGACATGTTCTCAAGATATGTTGGGTCAACTTAAGATGAAGGGTGGCTAGACGAATCCTAGAAGGGGTGTTCTAGCTTTGGTAACCTAAGTTGAGTAGTATGATACAAATTTGACAGCATAACAATATTCAATTCAAAGGTTTAACTTACATTGGGGGAGACACTTCTATTTTTAAGCTTAAGGAGTCTTCAAAGTGTAGAAGAAAAACCTTAGAAACCTTAACTTTACTAGCTTTGAGACCAAGGAAAAAATCATCTCCATTAGAAGGAGGACATATGGTCATTATAACATAGGAGAATCATCTCGATTCCTAGAAGGACACATGGTCATTACTTATGGGAAATCCTCTCTATTGAGAGCATGAAACATGACCACTCTCTCCCAAAGGTGGGACACCCTTCTCCCTTGCTCACCCACGACAAAGACAAAACATTGACCCATGAGGTCAACTCTAGAATATGAGCCTCTCTTGGGTCAACATTGGGTGTTGACCTTGGTTGATCCAAGTTTAGCAAAACCTTACACTACTTGACCTATTATACAAGACCAAAAAAAAAAAATCCTATACTACTTAGCCCATGATATAAGACCTAAAATAAATCTAATCTACCAAAAACTTAGTGATGACCATGATGATAAGAACTTGGACCTATGTTTCATAGATTACTTCAAATCTTTTTGAATACAATGAACATGGATAGATGATATACCAAAGGATAGAAGTGAAAAAATTAAAAAAAAAAATTGTAAACATTTATAAATGATTTAATGGATGTGATAGATAAAAAAATTAATAGAAAAAATTATTAAATTGTAATTTTACACGGTCAAAAGTATTATAAAATAAAATGTTATTATTATTATTATTATCAATTAGTATAATTATTATATTATTATAAATTATTAATATTATAATAATAGTAATTATTATTAATTTAATTAAAAGTAAAGGGCATGCACATTTGCCACCCAAAAAGCATTTAATCACATATTTAAAAGGCGAAGAAATTAAATTAAAAATGAATACTATTTTTTAATAAAATAATCTACATTGAGTTGTCGCCCCCTTTCCGTTCTAATTTTTTACCGCGAGATAAAATTGAATTTTTATCCTTTGAATTCATCTTTACAAATCAAGCGTAATCAAGTGCAAGCAACATTAAAATATATATGCCTTTGTATATATTTTTTATTTTTATATATGGGATAGTATCTAAATGCTCCGAGATTTAAAAAATAAAAAATAAATAAATAAAACTTGGATGGAGATCAACCTTGTCAAAAAAACTTGACAGCCTGTATCTCTGGATTCATTTGATAGATTGTCTCAGAACAAAATCATAGCATTCAGTTGTTATTTCCTTCAAACTGAGGTTCTTTTAGGCTGTGTTCGCATGAACGGAATTTACTGTTCATGCGAATTTGCGAGCGAAGAATTCAGCTCGTTATGCGTTCGTTTGGAGTGAAATGCGCGGACGGATTTGCGATGAAATGCGGGATGGTTGCACTGTTCAGTCACCCGCGGTTGTAAAGAGATTTGCGCGGATTGTGAGCGAAATGTCGCGTGTGCCCTCGGTTAAGAAACGCTAGAAACGCGTAACCGGTTACATGTTCGCGTAACCGGTTACGCGTTCGCGTAACAGGTTACGCGTTCGCGTAACCGGTTACGAGTTCGCGTAACCGGTTACGAGTTCGCGTAACAGGTTACGAGTTCGCGTAACCGGTTACGCATTCGCGTAACCGGTTACGCGATTTCCTATTTATTTTTTTTTTCAAGTTTTTTTATAATTATTTTAATATTAATAAAATTAGATATATTATATTTTTTAATTTATTTTTAATAAATTGATTATTATATTTTCTAATTTTTTTTAATAAATTTATTACTATATTTTCTAATTTATTTTTAATAAATTGATTATTATATTTTCTAATTTATTTTTAATAAATTGATTATTTAGTATTCTAATTTATTAAAAAAAATTGATTACTTAGTTTTTTAAATTTTTAAACATTAATTTTATAAATTATTCATAATTTTTTTTTATTTATAAACATTTTTACAATTAAATATAACATTTATAAATAACATTTTATATTATTTTTATAACTAGGGGCATTTTGGTAATCTTTAATTTCTACCAATTAAACTCATTTTTAAAATCTATCACATCAATCAAATCCTACACTAATTTTCACAAACTTTACTTCCAAATCCACTCTCAATTACCCACAAATCCACTCAAAAAAACAACAAAAAAATTACCCTCAAATCCACTCAAATCCATTCAAATCATCTCCCCCAAATCATCTCCTCTAAATCACTCCAAACGAACACACCCTTATACAGTGTTTCCCGGCATGATGAGCTGTGTAATTGTCCTTTTCCTTGCTTTTCGCAGAACAAATATATTTAAATAAGGTATTTGGGTTGGTAGCCACGTCCCATATAATTGTGATTTTATTCATTGTCTATTATATTACACATTAACTAAAACCTTAATTACCATGTTAAGTTGTGAAAAACAATGTACAGAACTAAACATATAACCATCTTTTATATTTTTAGAAAATTTTAAAAAACATTATAAATTAATTATAATGAGTCATAACGACTTATCTTAATATATAAATTTTAAATCCTATTATCCCATTTTTATAATTTAAAAACTAAAATACTCCATTTTTTTAAATTTTCTTTTATTTCCATATTCAGAGACCAACTAGAAATAATTACAACACTCAGATTAAAGACATTTTTTTGGCGGGAAACATATTCCTCAATTAATCTTCATGGAAAGAAAACCATTCCCGATAATATAAATCAAGAACAAAATCAAAGTTGTGTGCTAGACATAGGAGGAGACTTAATACATAAGAAACATGTAAGCAAATCCCAGAGACAACAAAATGGTGATTGAAGGCACTCCCAAACATCCACCATCGCCAGAGTCAACATTAGCATACTGTTTCTTAATGTTGTTCTTGTCAGAATCGGAGAGTTCTACCTTTCGTTCCTGCGATGGCAAAATGTAAGGGTACATAACAGAGTCGTTCATGAAAGAGTGGTCAAATCCAAGCAAATGCCCTATCTGATGCATCGCGGCACTCTCCAAGTCCAGAACTCCATCCTCCGCCGACAAGTCGCCTTTTTCACTGGGCAGCGCCCAATACATGTTGCCATTGAGATTTATCTCAGCTGTCTTCACGTCAGACGGAGGGTTCTCCGTTATAAAGCTGAAGCCAAACAAGTCGCCGATAAGGACATCAGAGAAATTGTAGAACCCAACCTTAATGTCCGCGTCGTCGTAGGTTGTCTCCGTCAGGTTCAAAAACCCTGTGGCATTCGCCCACCGCGTGAATGCATTTTTGAACACTTTGGTGAAGCTGGGTTGGACTTCACTCTCCGGAAGAAAACCGTACGTGAGGTTTGTCTTTCGGAACCACCGGTGACCGGCTTTGGGCCACGACACGTTTTGGGTGAAGCTGTAGTTGAAATCCATGTCGGGGACAGCACATCGTGGTAGCGAGATGAGTTTGAGGGTGTGGTTGTCTATGTCGGAGGTAACTGGGAGATTGAAAGATTCCTGGAAGGTCTTGATGGCTGATAATGTTTGTTGGTCGACAGTGTTGTTGAATGAGTCGGAGGATGGAAGGTAGCCAAAGTTAGAAAGGTATTCTTTGAGTGGAGCGAAGCCTTTTCTTTCCTTATTGAGTGGGAGGTTTGGTAGTGTGGGATCCGGTTTCAAATACTTCAAGTATTCTTTATCCCATTCTGGCTTTGGTGGTTTTTTTCCATTGACCCAATTGATAACTTTTTCCTTGTTTAAAGACTTGAATAGAGACGCAAGAGAAGACCCAATACCAGCCTTCGCGAAATGGGATTGGTGGAGAAGGAGAAGGAACAATAATAGGAGAGCAGAAGGGAATGGTTTCATCTTTATCAATATAAATTCTTGCTCGATTTCGTCTATGCAGTGGAGTTGGGGAATAATATATATAACAAAAATGATAATGGGCAAGTTTGAGAAACTGAATAAAGAAAGAATTTTGGCACAAGTTGGTGATCTCGAGAAGCACACCGTTGCTAAGCCATTATTGGTGTGATTACAACAACTTGCTGATGACGAAGCAAGTTGCTAAAGCCAACATGTGAAGACTCGCTGTCAGTGTCTGCAAACCTAAACATCCATGTTTGATTCTATGGATTTGACGAAAAGTCAATGATTTTACGTTGACCTCAAGTCTTCGTCACCCTTTCAAATTATAAGAAATGCTAAAGAAGACATTGTGAGTTTATACGTCCAAATGGGCTGAGATGGGCAGCGGCTAGTACATGATACTTACGGAGAATTTGTTTCCTCTACCCACCAAATGCTCCCAACATTATTTTTCTATTTTTTTACTCCAAAAATATCTTACATTAATTTTTTTTTAAAACTCTAAATTTTCCTAAATTCTTTTACTTTTATTTTTCTCTGATGGTACACAAACTACTTTCTCTCTTCTATATGTTCTTCATATGCCTTCGATATTATTTTGTTTTTCATTTCCTGGTCTATATTTGGTTGTGATTAAATGTTCATCATAATCTATTGACAATTATTATTCATGTTATAGGCAAAAGATGGTATAGATATAAGAAACTTTAATTTTTCCAAAAGAATTTTCAAGTAAGTAAAATATTGAGTTACGTTTCTCTTACCTTGTTTTATTAAGTGGATTTCTCGGAACAAATCTAAAATTTTGAGTTAGCCCCCTTTGACAATTTTATTCATCCCAAAATCCTTAGCATTTCCTACATAAATAACACTTTCAGCAATTTGTAAGAAAAAGAATCTTAATAATCCAAGAAAAAACCATCATGGATCTTTTCTATGCATCATACAGAGGGTTATCTATAAATAATGCAAATGAATAAATAATACAATTAAATAGAACCCAAAAAATATGTTTTGAGAAGAAAAACTCAAAATAAAAACAAAAGTAAACTTATTTCAAAGAAGAAAAAAATCATCCGTCTTTGTAGAAATCAAATTTTTTGAGATTATAAGTCGTCCATAGTGGCTGCTGTGGAAAACTCTCCGGATAAGAATAAGTCTGTCCCTCGCTGTCCTAATTGTCTTATCTGTCCTTGGTTTTGGTTCATACGTACATGGTACTGGTTTTGGTTTACAAATTCATGGTACGACAATGTATAACTAGTTTTGGTCCACTGGTGTGAGGCAAGTGGGTCTATTATTGGTGTGCTTAAAACAACAATGTATAAGAGTTTTACTTAATGGATAAAACTCAAATTGACTACACTTTTAGCTTTCTAAAAATATTTCGAATTGACTGATTCTTTTATCTCCTAAGGAATCCATATACATATTTTTCTTCCGAAATTATTCTCAATCTAATTAATCATGTATTGGTCACTCATCCACAACTAAAAGAATATACTGATCAAACTCAATCCAAAACTTCCTAAACATCTTAAAAATTGTAAAGAGTTAAATCTCATTCTCAAAAAATTTCGTTATGGAAGGAAAGAGCCGACCACAATCTTTACATTTGGCATAATTAATCTCTAGCATATGATAAAACCTCTATTGGTTCTTTTCGCAACTGTGATATGAAAATTAGTACGAAATACTATAAGAAAAAAATTGAAATATTGCCACCAGTTAAATTCCATAATAATATGAAAAGTTGTTGATAAAATAAAATTATTGATGATCTAAAGTTATTGATAAAATATTTGTAAATAAAATTTTTATGGATAGATAAGAAAATTTTTTCAAGAATTACCGACAAACAATTATCAATGAATTTTTATACTATGGTTAACTATAATGAATTTTAGTCGGTGGTGAATAAGGTGATTTTTTTTCTTTTTCTTTTTCATTTTTCTCTTTTGCTATCTACTTTCTCATTTCTCTCATTTGGAATTCATTTTAAAGATGCATTTAGCAAGAACCTTTTAAAACAATTTAATCACTAATAAATTTAAAAAAGAAAACTCATTTAGTAGCACATTTAAAATAAAATTAATTATCGACAAATTTAACTGATGAATTTAATCACAAAAGGGTCAAAGTTCAAAGTGAAAATTTTGATATCTAATTTACCAATTAAATTTACTAATGGTATTAAAAAATTCATCATCAACGAAAACATTTGTCGACAATACTAATTCAAAATTGTCAATAAATTTTAGAGATGAACACATTATCAACGAAAATATATGTTGATAATAAAAATTATAATTTATTAAATAATCTATTATCTATAAAAATATATGTTCATAATAAAAAATCTAAAATGCATCAATAAAATATATTTTTATTGATAATTTTTTTCATAGATAAAATTTCATATATAATTAAGTAATTTATTATAGTGAAATGGCTATACGAAGGTCTCTATCTAATAAGTAGGATTAACTTTTATAATCTTTTGACTACATGTTTTCAAAAGGACAATTAACTTATTTTGCAAGTAATGGTGGATTTGAGGAAGAGGGAATGAATGAATTTGAAGGAATAGAGAGATGATTGTGATGTTGTTTGTTTTAAGGGATAGAAAGATGATACTATACCCCTTAGTCATGACCAAACATACTCAAGAAGATTTGGAGTCATCTACAGAAGGTGAGCCCAAACTCTTATCATCATGGGCCATAAGTGAGTTTTTAATAGATTGTGTTTATTTTAGGCCTTATATCATGGGTCAAGTAATATAGGATTTCCTTTTTGAGCCTTGTATTATAAGTCAAGTAGTGTAGGGTTTTGCTCAACTTGGGCCAACTTTGTTCTTCTCTTCTTTTCTCAATCTTCTCTTATATCCTTTCATTTTTTTTTGTTTTAAAATTCTAAGTTCCTCCTCTCTAGAATGACCAGTTGAGTCTTTTTTTTAAAATTTTCTCCTCTTCTTTTTGTACGACCTCTTGCTTTCCCCAAATTTTTAGTGACTTTAGTTCTTGAGCATTTTGTCTTAAACTTTATGGATCTTTTTTACTAGAGTCACTA